AAAAACACTCAAAAAACACTCAAAAAACACTCAAAAAACACTCAAAAAACACTCAAAAAACACTCAAAAAACACTCAAAAAACACTCAAAAAACACTCAAAAAACACTCAAAAAACACTCAAAAAACACTCAAAAAAGACACACCAACGCCTCGAACTTCCAGCCGTATGGGCGCTCCGGAGCCGGCCCTCACCCAGTCGGCCCGTCCGGGCGGTCACGTGCGCGCCGCGGCGCTGGCCTTCTGAGTCACGGCAAACCCCCCCAGGCTCCTCTCCACCCCCAGCCAAACGGACCCACGCCGCCGCCTAGCCCCGCAGACTCCGGCCCCTCCGCATCCGGCGCCCGCGATCACCCCCTCCGCCCAAAAAAAGCGCCGCCAAACGCCCACTGCCCGCCACACGCCATGCAGCAGTACACCATCGTCATCAAGCTAGGCACGTCGTCGCTAGTGGACGAACACACGCGCGAGCCGCGCATCGCCAACATGGCCAACATCGTGGAGACCGCGGTCCGGCTCCGGCGCGCCGGGCACCGCATCATCCTCGTGTCGTCCGGCGCCATTGCCTTCGGCATGAAGCGCGTGGGCTTGGCCGAAAAGCCCACGCAGCTCGCCGCGGTCCAGGCGCTCGCGTCCATCGGCCAGGGCCGGCTCATCGGGCTCTTCGACGACTTGTTCCGCCAAGTGGGCCAGCCCGTGGCGCAGGTCTTGCTCACGCGCAACGACATCATCGACTACACGCAGTTCCGCAACGCCACCAACACGCTCCAGCAGTTGCTCGCCATGGGCATCATCCCCATCGTCAACGAGAACGACACGCTCAGCGTGGCGGAGATCAAGTTCGGCGACAACGACACGCTCTCGGCCATCACCGCGGGCATGGTGCACGCGGACTACTTGTTCCTCATGACCGACGTGGAGTGCCTCTACACGGCCAACCCGCGGCACGACCCGGCCGCGCAGCCCGTGGTGCTTGTCAAGAACATCGCGGACTTGGCCGTGGCCACGGACGCGGGCGCGGGCGCGGGCTCGCAGGTGGGCACGGGCGGCATGACCACCAAGTTGATCGCCGCGGAGTTGGCCACCAACGCCGGCGTGACCACCATCATCGCGCTCCTGTCGCGGCCGCAGTGCATCTTGGACATCGTGGCGCACATCCACGCGACGGACGCCTCCGCGGACGAGGCCACGCAGCGCCGCGCCATCGACCAGGCGATCGCCGCGGGCTCGATCCCGCTCCACACGCGCTTCTTGGGGCTCCCCCGCCACGCGCAGATCCGCTCGGACCGCCGCTTCTGGCTCCTCCACGGGCTCCGCACCAAGGGCATCTTGTACATTGACCAGGGCTGCTTCGAGGCCATCACGCGCAAGGACCGCGCGGGGCTCTTGCCGGCCGGCGTCGTGGCCGTGGAGGGCTCCTTCCACGAGAGCGAGTGCGTGTCCGTGCGCGTGGTGCCGCACGCCGATGGCCCGCTCTCGGCCGCGGTGGAGGTGGCGCACTGCCGCGTCAACTACAGCTCCGTGGAGATCGACATGATCAAGGGCAAGAAGAGCCGCCAGATCGAGGACATCTTGGGCTACGCGGACTCGGAGTACGTGGCGCACCGCGACAACTTGGCCTTCCCGCCCAGCTTGCCGCCGCTGACGGACGAGCTCGTGCTCTCCAAGTTGATTCCGTGAGTGCTGCGTCTTGGTGGGTCGGGAAGGGTCGGGAAGGGTATCTGGAAGGGTAACTGAAAGGGTACCTGGAAGGGACCTGGATGAATGGACCTGAATGGAGACCTGGAAGGGTAACTGGAAGGGTCCCTGTAACGGACCTAGAAGGAGACCTGGAAGGAGACCTGAATGGACCTGAATGGACCTGGAAGGGCACCTGAATGGACCTGAATGGAGACCTAGAAGGAGACCTGGAAGGAGACCTGAATGGACCTGAATGGAGACCCGGAAGGAGACCTGAATGGACCTGAATGGAGACCTGAATGGAGACCTGAATGGACCTCGAATAAACCTGAATGGACCTGAATGGACCTCGATAGACTTTAATGGACCTCGAATAGACCTGAATGGACCTCGAATAGACTTGAGTGACCATGAATAAACCTGAATGGACCTGGAAGAACCTGGCGTGTAGGTTGCCTTGGATGTGTAGCCTCCGCAGACACCCACATAAAGGTTCTGTGTTGTGGAAATGCTAGACAAACAATCGACTGCTTAATACATTAATTGTGCCAAGGACACGGGGCTTCAAAGCAGAGGCTTACTCGGCCTGGCTCGTCTGAATGGGCCATGTAGAGACGGGCCGTAGCGCATAGGAGACCTTGTTTCTGCGTGGTGCTCCAGTGGCTTTCACAATGCGTTGCCCATGAAACCGTTTCGATTGGCCCTGTGCCTCTGAAGGCTCATTCCGTAATGTGTTTGCACTGAGGTTCTGAGCATGTTTTTCAGCCCATGCTGTTATTCTGGATCCATGCCCTTGAAAAGACAAGGTCTCCATGATCAACTACATAGACGCTTTGTGACGGTTCCGTCCTCATCTCAAATGCGCTAGCTTTAGTATCTGGGCTCGTAGTGATTAGTCAATTGTTCATGCCTCTCATGATTTTTTCGGACATGTATTGACAATAGACAAACTTCAGAGACTCAGCTCGTAGCTAATGCAAACGCGTCTCACAAAATAGTTCAGTCGTTTGCTTGATCTTGGATCAGCTTTCACCCACACTCGCCTGTCACATCTCCCGTTTTGTCTGAGCTGGGTCTGCAAAGCTCGAAACCATACTCGTGGCGTTTTCGACACCCATCAGACTGGATTCGAGACCCCACAACAATAAGCTATTCTCCAGTATTCACTTGAACTGTTCAAGTGGTTCTGGCTCGACACCCATCAGACTGTAATTGAGACTCCGCAACTGTCTGTTATTCTCCAGTAAACCCTAAAATACTCAAAGTCCTTGGAGCTTGCTACTGGTGGACAGCTTCCCGCCAATGTGAAATGACTGACATTCATAAAGTCCCAGAGGCGTTGATCCTCGGGCCTTTGTCGGACGGGCCAAAGAGAACCATCACCAAGTATTTTTATTGCACAGAAAGGAGAATACCAAAGCACAGACATCGTACTTTCTAGAATATGATCTTCTCTCAACTCAGGCTGAAGACAGTGTTTTGCATATTTCTCAATGGATTGGCAGACACGCGGTATATTAAGCGAAACCCGGAAGTCAGCCTCTGAAAGCGTATCAGTCTTTCAGAAATAAGTACAACTCAAATTCTCTGGCTAACCTTTTAGTGGCCCTACAGACAGAAACAATTGTTTTTCACTAATTCCATGCGCTTGCCTGCTGAATCGAAAACCTCCAACAGAACATCAAAAGAAAAAAAACGACTCTAAAACCTTGCGTATCTGCGCTTGAACTGCCACATTGAAATTCTGATCAAACGATCATTGATCAAACATCCTAGACAATCACTTAAAACATTTCAATTGCAAATGGCCAAGTGGTCTGGAATTGCAAGTAACGGATATTCGATACAGCTGGAGACTTATTCGAATATCAATGAAGCTTTTCTTCTCACTGGCTCACCAACAATGTGATTCTAAAATACTGCCACCCTGGATCAGTCACTAAGTAGCCAAAGGAAGACCTGGAATAGGATCTCTCTGGTCGACGTCTCCAGAATCGTGTGCTTCGAACTTGAATCCTTGCACCGCGGGACTACGAACGAAGCGTGGGCTGAAGCCTACTTGAGACTTAACCCTCATCTCAATATTGTGCCCAATATAAGAGAAGATGCTATGGCATTTGAATTGGGCTGCTCTGGAAAGTCATTTTTCTTTTTTGCCGAGGAGCGTACTGCCATGTCACTCGCAGCTTAAAGTAACGGGTGACCAAAGCTTCGACCCAGCACCGCAAGCCAGGGCTACCACTAAGATGTAGATATGTCAACTCCGCCTTTTTCGAATCAGATTTCTAGGCTTGCTTCAAAGATTTACACTTGGTCAATTTTTTTCAGCTTTGGCCTTGGATGACGGATGTGCAGCTGCATTGTCATACGTATCCAATAAGAAGCTTGTAATACGTGATAACACTGTTCATCAGGACATATATGTTACCGGCGCAAGTTGAGCTCCCGCCACAAAATGTTTGTTTGCGCCTTTCAAACCCAAAATTATCTTGTTAGATGTTCAGGCAGTATAGTAGATCCTCAAGTAAACTTGATCACTTCTTTAAACCAGAACGAGTCATACCAACCCTCCTCCGCCTTTATATCTGCTCAGAATAAATGTCACAAAGAATTTCCATCGTTTTCTTGCCACGCCTGATTATATCACCACAGAGTCATCAAATCAAAGAGCCATCACACCAAAGAATTATTACACCGAGGAATCACTGTGCCGAAGAATAATTACACCAGAGAATTACTGTGCCGAAGAATAATTACACCAGAGAATTACTGTACCGAAATTGCACTATGATCTTTGCTATGAACAAGTCATTGGAATAAACCAAAAATCCCCCCGCTCGGCATTGAAAGATTTCCAGACCTTCAAAACCCTCTGCACTTCTAAAACTTGCCTTTCGAATTCCCCATTTGTTTGTCTTCCAATTCCTCGTCTGCATGGTTGGGTGCCCGGTGCGCGGTGGCTGATGTGCCTTCAAAAACACCGACTCACCACGAACAAAGGCGCAACAGATTACCTCAAACCTCTGGAACTAAAACCGAAATTACATCAAAATGGGTAAATCGCGGAAAAGAAAACTGAAAAGTACCGCAAAACCCAGCTCTCTGGCCCCGGACTCATCAGCGCCCACATCACTGCTGGCCGGGCCCGAGGCACGTGACCTGCCTGTCCAAATGGATCTGGACAATCCATCCAATTCAACCCAAAGTCCCGGAATCCTGGACCAGGGCAAAACAATGACGGCCCCTCAAGATTCAGAACATGCCAAAAATACAGAGTCTGATGTGTTAGCCTCGACTTTGACCAGAAACACGGATCTGCATGTCGGGCACGAAGATACTCAAGGACACATGGAAGATGCCACTGAGGATCTGTCAGACACCCCAGAATCGGACAGCCAAAAGGGTGAAGGCTTAAATCTGCAACTTGGGAAACATCCGCGTGAGAACACGCCAAAAACAGAGACTTGCGAAAGTTGTTCAACAGAGCTTTCTCCAGAGGCAGAATCTCAACTGGAGTCAAGTGGAATGATCATGGCTCCAGACCCCACGGAGGAAAAAACGCCCAGAATACCGGACAAAATACCTGAGGATGTCTCTGAGCTTAATAAACTGAAGATCAATGTACATGAACACGGAGTTGGCTCTGTCTCATCAGATCCTGTCATTGAATTAGACTCAGAAACAAACAAAAAAGTCTCAACAGACAAAACTCCAGGCCTCGATGTTAAAAGTGCGGAGAGTTTGGGGCTGGCTGAAATTGAAACTCAGACCCCAGTTCCCATTGTGGCTGGCCTCGGTAATGAGGCGGATACGAAATCACCCACTATTAGTGCATGTTCAGAAACTTCGGGTACATCTTTTGAAAACAACTTCCTTCCACCAGGCTGGTCCTTGCAGAAGCTAGCCCTTGAACTCCCGCTAGGGGCCAAGGAGCAAATCACGTGCATCTCTTCTTTTGAATCGAATCTTTACATCGGCACATCCACAGGCCAGGTGCTACACATGTACCTCTTCGATGATGCCGAACAGTACATTCTTATAATGCAGATTCCTGCTTCCGAATCCAGCACCAAAGCTGTATCCAAGATCTTGCCAGTGCCGGACGCAAACATGTGTCTTATACTTGCGGGAAACACAGTGCATTCATTCACGTTGCCAGAACTCTCGCCGTGCCGCATAGGCAAAATAAAAGACGCCGTCGACTTGCTGCTTCTTAGCGTGGGGAAACTTCCCAGCGAAAGAAATAAGAGCGACAAGGTTGTCGTGTACACGTCCAGCAAATTCCGTGTTGTGCACGTGGTTCCAACAGGAATCAAACTTCTCAGAGATATCAACTATCTTGGCGCCGTCACCGGAGTCTCGCTGGCTACAGGAACACTGGCTCACTATAGCAATATCTGCATCATTGCCAACGACACACGCTTTGACGTGGTGGACATGCAGCAGACCCGCAAAATCCCGCTATTCGACTATAATCCTGCTGCGGTCGAAAACATCCATCCATTCATTGTTCCTTATCTCGCCCAAGATACCTCTCTGGCACGTGAGGAGTACCTCCTTCCAATTTGCACTGAGCCAGCCACTTCCATGGCGATGTTCATTAGTTCTGCCGGTGACGTCACTAGAGGAACACTTACGTGGATTGGACACGGGTATCCCATGGGAGGACTTTCTGTAGAATGGCCGCATGTAATTGGGGTTTTCCAAACACATTCAGGTTCGCAAAAGCTCATCTTCAGTTCTTTGCTGACATTCGAGGTTGAGGCTTCTGTTGAATGTGACGCTTTGTTCGGATCTGAATCCCGCGGGTCTATTTGCATAGTCAATTCTGGGAGGGCACTCAAGGTCACTAATCAGGAGCTTCTGCGCTTACTCACCCCAATTTCAGCCACAACTCGCAATCCACTTGTGCCACATAAACAGTTCGATTATAGTAGAACGGTGTTTTCTGATGGATGCCTGCTCTATGGCTTACAGAAGCAAAGCCCTCTTACCAAAACACTTCTCAATCTCAAAGACATAATTTTGAAACCACCATTGAAGGAGTCACTTTCACGAACCGTCGAATTCTTCTCAACAAAGTCCTCAGTGGACGATTTTCATTATTTGATGTACTTAGTCTTGCTTCTCTTGTCAGAAGATACCACCAAGATCAAACAGCTCTGGAACCAAAAACTTTCCGATGGGCAGATCATTGACCCAAGACTTCTCATGCTTTATTGCGTGGATTTGCGGGAACTTAGAGACGAACTCTGGCACGATTTCAGTCCGCAAAGAATCTTTCTAGATATTCGAGATCAGTTGGCGGACTCTGTGATAAGAAAAAACAAGCAGTTTTATAAATGGCTTATCCGTGAAATTCACTCTAAAGGCGACGACTATGAAGAGATAATTCGTGTTTCCGCAAGAAAACTTGTCTATACTGAGACATGTGAAAATTCACTGGACATTTTACTGGTCATATCTTTGGAATCTGACGTTTGGCTGGGCCAAAATGCCGTGAATGAAGAGCTCACAACTTATTTTTTTAAAAAGAACATGTTCTTAGTCTTGCTTCATATATACCGTTTGAAGCAAGATTCAGGAAATTCATTCGAGCAGTGGTCTCTCAAAATCATTGACTTGTCCCTAGACCTAATTTCCGGTCGCAAGACAACGGATACGATAGCAAATTCGGTCGGCGAGGACATCTTCCAAATTGATTCTTACGTGTTTGACTTGCCGAAAACTGCCTTCAACCAGCTTCGAGAAAATGTGGATGATGAAAAGGTATACGCTAAACAGCTTTTGAAGCTTCTTCAGCTTCGTCCAGACCGAGGCTTGGTACTTCTTAAGTCGGCTAAAGGCAGTAAGTTTTCGTCAACTCATAAGCATATTTTGGATGAATTATCGAAGTCGTACAAATTTGATTCCAAATTCTCGCCGCTCAAGATTGAGTACACTGAGCAGGCCTTCTTCGAAAGCTGTAAACAGACATATGTAATCGATTTCCCAATTGCAAACGAACTTTTAGAGGATTATGTCTGTTATCTCAATCAAAACGATCTTCAGGTGGAGTATGAAAACTTAAATATTCTCTACGCAACATACAAAATCGAAAACGATTTGAGAGATCCACTGTGGCCCAAAGTGACTTGGATCGAATACTTACATTTGCACTACCGAAAAGGCGATTGCGAAGAGTTCTTGGAAACGTACTTGAAAGTATACGAATTGATTGTGTTGCTTGCTATGTACAAAAAGGATATGAACATGACGCTTGACTCGAAAAGTGAGGCAATCGCTTTTTTGAAATGGGTGTTCGACACAGACATTGACAGAGTAGCCCGTCTTCAAGAACTCAAGGACTACTCGACTGCCGAGTGGCTCATTTTCAATGCGCATCCCCCTATACCGAGAAGTCTGTTTATTCTTGGGACTTTGAGAGAGCAACAGCTTTTGAGATACGACAAGGTATCCCCCGAGAAGGCGAAAATCTACTTGACCAGTCTCATGGAATATTATCTCGCAGTGGAAGATCAAACAGCGAGATTTTACTCGGTGATGCATGCTGTCAACACTTACGCAGACCAGTATTTGACTATGGAACAGGTGTTGCAGTTGCTTCCGGAAGACTTTCCCTTGTTGTATGTGGAGAGATTCTTAGAATCGCAGCTTCAAAAGCTCGAAAATAGAAGAAGCGATGCGCAGATCAAAAAAGCTTTGCAAAAGGCCAACGTCAAGCTCAGCAAATCACTTTTCAGGGACTATGAGACAAAACGAGAGACGCTCAAGTCCAAAGACGCAAAAAGTTGAGTGCGTCCCCTACCAGCACAACTCAGAAAAACCCGCCAATCTTAACCAAATAGTCGATGAACATACCGAACCACAAAATCCAGCCCGTTTTTATATTTCCCGTGAACATGGCCCAGCAACTGCTGGGAGTGTCCAAGTCCACTTTTTTGATTTGCGAAAACAACCGCTGAAAACCCCAAGCGGCGCCCAAATAAAAGAAAGGGCCCATGGAATTGACAAAACCAGCGGTCAAGAACGAAGACACCTGGAGCGCGTATAAGCCGTACAAAATCGGTTTGGTGTTTTCTCCCCATGCCAACGCTGTCGACTTGATACCTGCCTTGATGTCATAACGTTTATCCTGGTGGGCATATATGGAGTCGTATATCATACTCCACAAGAAATTGGACAAAAACAACGGGGCCGCGACCAACAAATTGAGAGGAGCGAGCACAGCGGGAAAGCCAAGCAAACAGCCCCAGCTGAAGGTGATCGATATCATGACTTGTGGATAGTAAGTGAACCGCTTGAAAAGTGGGTACGTGAACACGAAGGGAAGCGACAACGCCCCTAAATAAAAGCACTCAAAGGGCAATGAAAGAAGAACGCCCAAGCCAGCAAAACACTGGGCGGCCAAAAAACCCACTGCTTGTGGCACACTGACTCTCCCGCTGGCAATAGGTCTCTCCACCGTTCTTGCCACCTTGTTGTCTAGGTTTCTATCTAGAATGTCATTGATTGTGCAACCGGCACCCCGCATAATAAGTGCGCCTACGGAGAATAGAGCAATTGCAGATACAGTGGTTGCCAATGGCGCCATGATGCCGTAAGCGGCCATGGTGATTCCCCAAAGGGAGGGAATGAGGAGCAAAAACGTGCCTACTGGTTTTTCTAAACGCATCAACTCCGCATATGGGACCCATTTTTCGGGGAGGTTCCGGAGCCAACCGAGATTTGCCAAACGAGCCAAGCGAGCTGCCTCAAGCTCCTCCTTTGGGAACGAATTCCCGGACTTGGTGCTCAAAAAAGATCCAGATTGTTGGTTATCTGCTGGCTTTCCGCCGTTTGTCGCCTCGTGGATTTCAACAAGAGTCGAACCACTGGTAATTTTGGTATCTGAAGATCTGTTTTTCGGTGGTGAATGTACAATTGGAGGTTCGTGAAACCCCGAATATATTTTTGGAGAGTGTGCAAATGTTCGGAAGAGTGTCTTTGTCGGCACAATGCGCGCAATTGCCGAGCGACAGAGCCCTAGGTGGATTCCGCTTTTGAATGCCACGTGGTACATGAATATTGTGGTGAGAAGGTGAGGCCCTGCGGGTGCTTCCGGTAAGTTTCGGGTATCTACTATTGAGAATTGGGTACTCGTATCGCGAGTTGGTAAGTTGAAGCTCACCTCTGTGTGCAGGCCTGGGACATGGGTGTGAAAAGCTGAGGTCCGTTAGGCGAACTGTTTACATTTCGAGGCTGCAGTTGAAATTGGTGCCATGATTCTGCAATGCTAGTCGATATGTATCGCCTGTCTTAAAGCCAATCAATGAAAAGTGGATATTCATAAAGCAGGATAAGGTCATCTTCTGTCTCACATTAATATACCCTGAAGCCTCAAACGTATTTGGCTATACGTGCTGTCTTCAAAATGACATATAACTGAGAGCCGCCAACTTATACATCATAAAATTACGGAGGGCTTATAATTATAATTGCCAGAGAGTACTTATTCTAAAGAAGAAAGCTCTTGATACAATTCAGCTCCTTGTAAAGCAATAGAAAATAATGACAACAAAAAGATTGCAGCACCACAATTTCGCATATGGTCTCCCACTACACTACTCAGTGTGGCCCTATGCAGCTTAACTAACGTTGATCGGACGGGAAACAGTGCTTTCTGCATGGTATGGCCGCAACCGTAAAATTGTTATGATACGACATGAGCAAGATTATAGATTCTGGGCATCCTGTATAATACGAAGGACGAAGAGTCTAAACATTTCTGATCGGGGTTACCCCTCACCTACTGTATAGAAGGGTTCCGAACTATAAAGGAGCGTGAGGCTGAGACATCCCTGAAGAAGGATAACACTTTTTAGACATCGAGAATACGACAGATAGACTAGGCCTATCCACTAAGGCTGAACTATCTATAAACCGATCTACTCGTAGTTTAAGAGACAGCTCCAGGCTGTTTCATAATAAAAATTGTGATATGCTGAACAATAGATTGACCACAATTGAATTATTTATAACTTTGCAATTGCAGCTTATTGAAATCAAACAATCTTTTTTTTGACCTTAACACATTCTGTTCGAAAACTGGGATCTGCAGAGAATTTTGAGGCTGCTGACGTCTAGTAAAGAAGAAATAGTCACCCTATCTACACCCTTTCAGGATTTTTGGCCGCATAAAAAACAGGTTTGATATCTAAATTTCTGTGACACATTTAAATTGTAGGCCTGCATTGCTCTTCACTTATGAAAAACTCCCAGACTTTTTTAGTTGAATCATATACCTTATAGAATGCTACTTAGCAAATCATTATCATTCTGTTGGACAGCTTACTTGATCAATTCGACTAGCTTCATATTTGTTTAAGCTCATATTGCAATCAACTCTTGATTGCAGCCTCGAACCGCGTTTGCCACGTCTTTTATTCCGTCTTTTTAAAATTAATCCCACACAACGCAGAAGGATTTGCAAAACCCTAACAAAGATGTCATGACACTTTAAGTACTTCAAAATCTTGTGTACCTTCATAAACGAAAAAAAAATTCACTATTTCCATTAACGCGACTAGATTTGATGAGACCTTAAACGCCCAATTCTTGTTTGACAAACAGACAAAAGTTGAGTCCTTCCATTTGGCAATGATTGGAAGCGTGTTTAGAAGAACAAGATGAAAAGGTCTCGAAATATTGCACACCACTGTCACAATCAGCTCCCACTAGGTTTGTGTCTCATCCAAACAAGAATTTAGTCAATCACAGAGTAAGGCTATTTATGCCTGATCTTTCGAATTTGTGAGCACACTGCATCATTATAAGAGAATTACAAGTCGAGAGTGGATAAAGCGACTGTATTCGGAGGGCTTTTGAGTCTTTTTTAGATATAGCCTTAGTCATTCAATGGATGAAGACGACTTCTTCTGAAGTCAACTCAGCCAAACAGTTTCGGGAGCTTCAAAACTTTGGTTTAATTTTCGTGTTCCGAAGAAACAATATCATCAATGTATTCACAATGCGTTGTAACCAACTTCAAGGGGAGATGAAACAATTGGCTTCTTTCCGTCCTATGATGACTTCCAACAAACCATTACTAGTGAGGTAATACTCGCTATAGAGTAGGACAACATGCAACCGCTGCATGGTAAAGACATTTGACACAAGCGCTCGGTCAACACAGAACATCTTGACTAATCCAATGCGAAACATGGTAAAAGCTGAATAAGACAAACATACTTGAGGCGGTGTTGCCAGCTCCCGGGATCAGGCTTTACGTCGAGCAGTAATTTTTGTTGACCATCAGAATCTGATGTGAATACAACTGGTAGCGCCACCATGAACGTTCTGGAATAGGCAGTTCGGATCAAATAAAGATGAAATTCACTCGTGACTTACCAATACAATGACAGGCCTGAATCTTCATGATTTTTCCATCAGGCTATATGTCTGTCATTAAGGATAATACGTGACAAAGAATCAGGCTCTCAGCTCTCCTCCAATACATGGTGGGCAATCTGTCGCAAGACAGTAGGTTTCTCCAGCAGCATGAGATAAACTTGCAACAGATCTCCATATCACAACTTGGCAAAATACACACAGCTCATGTCTGGTGATTTATCATTGAAACCTCGCATTTCGTGATGCGTGTGCACCAATGATGCCTTTCATGCAATTCATACAAATTGCAGCGGTCTTCTGACTCTTTGTTCATCCTCGATTCTCAATTCTCGCCATACTCAAAATCAGTTCCAAGCTCCGCATCTCGCCCATTTTGATGGCTTTCTATGAGCGCCTGAAGCTCGGCCAATTCTTGTGGTGAGCCAATGCCCTCGATGACTTTTGCCGTGAAGATCTGCCTACACATAGGGCACAAGCCCTTTGAATTGCTTTGCTCAAGCCACTTCAAAATACAATGGAGATGAAAGTTGTGAGAACAGGTGGCGCCCAAAATAAGCGGGCAGGTGTCGCCTGGGTACTTACAGTTGGGGCACGTGCCATCAAAAGGCACCCTGCAGATTCCACAGAGCTCGTCATTTTGGGAGCTCTGCGTATGCCAGTGCCACGTGGCCACCCCATGCCAGTGTTTGATTTTCACCTTCATTTACGGTGGTGAAGAATAGAAAACAACAGTCCGACTTGATGCTGAGGTTTGTGGAACGCGAAGCGCAATGTCGCAGTGAGCCTCGGAATACGCGATGGACACCCTCGGAATCGGGGCTTTGCAAAAGATGATGGTGTTGATTGAAAGAACAGAAAGTTGAAAGAGGAACAAAAGAGATTTTTTGAGGTAGAGGAGACACAAATTTTGGAAATAGTTCTCCAAACTGCAAGGGGTTGGATTTTAATGAAATCTCCAAAATTAGTGGACTTCACTAAAAATCGGCAAAATGAATTCGCACTTAACGCTGCCTGAACGTTGAAATGTTCAATAATGGTGAAATGTTCAATAATTGAATTCTCTGATTTTTGGAATGAAATTCCAATGACTCAAGACTGAACATACACAAAGCACTTTCCAACGAAGGAAAAATTACCCGACCAGGAATTCCCTCTGTATACTTTTTAAAATTCTGAACATTTCTACTGCATTTATCGAATCTAATTTGGGTTTTTTATTATGGGGCATGGCACTTGTGTGTAGTTTGGGAAAGCACCGGGCAAAATACGTGGGTGATAATTTTCAGTGGAGTCATGCCGGCACCGTTGGGTCAATATACAGACAAGTAGCGCCACGTGCAGACTCGATACTTGAAACCAAAGCAGTCTATTTTTGTATTGAGGAGTATAATGAGCATTCTGCAATGTCCATGCATGCGTCGCGGGACGAAAAAGATTACGACAAGACAGCCCCATGAAAGCTCATGCCATGGTTGCCCGGATCACCGCTTCTTGTAGACAAGGCCCTTGAATATGTCGAAGGAGTTCCCGTCGGGCTGCAACTCCAAAGTCTCTCTTGTACGGATGTCCTCTGCGACCAAAAGCCCATAGTCGCTAGTGATGCCCTTGATGACACACTCGCGTGTGTTTCCGCTGCCGTCCTTGTCGAGGCGCACGCGCTGGTCCAGATGGAACCACCTTTTGTAGTAGAGGCTCAAGAAAGGCAGGAGGCCAGACTTTTTGAACACATTGAAGAATTGGCCTAGCGTGAACAAGGTCTTGGCCAAAAGCATTTCATGGTTGTACGGCGGGAGAGGCGCGAGGCCTTTCTGGGCCCGGATCTCGTTTAGCTTCTCTAGCACCGAGTTGAGGGACGTGGTGGGTGCTTCGTTCAGCACGTTGACGCCGCAGCCCCAGACCAAGTAGAACTCGCCGTTGATGAACTGCGAGTTCACGAGGGCGCCGGAGACCTTTGCCCACTTCTGCTCGTCACCATCGACGGTGGAGCTGGTGTCGTTCTTGTCGGAGGGCGCCGAGAAGAACTCGGGCTTCAATGCGTACATGTCGTTGGGCCACTTGAGACGCAAAGGCATGTCCTCGTAGCCCGCGGCTTGTCCCTGCAGCGCGCCCCCGTAGCCAAGGATCAGCTCGATCATGGCCAACGCACACAAGTACTGGAGCGTGACGATGTTGAAGTTCTTCTGGGCGTCGTGGGCCACGCGGAAGAGCACGGACGTGGCCATGACGCCTCGCGGGTTCACCCACACGTTGCCGCCGCGGCCGCGGCCCGCGACCTGCGTGGAGGCGGTCAACGTGAAGCCCGTGGGCAAGTGGCGGAGCCAGTTCGGGTTGGCATCCAAGAGCGTGTTGGTGGAGGACACGACCTCGCCGTAGCAGAGCAAGCTGCCGAAGTCGCGGTCCTCTGGCGGCGCGGCGCTGTGCGCGTGGAGCCGGGCCAAGCTGTCGAAGTAGAGCCGCATGTCGAAGTAGGGCGTCAGGCGCGGCTCGGGGAGCGCCGCGGACGTGTACGCCTTGATGTGCTTCGCGCCCGCCGTGAGCGCCTCGAGCAGCTCCGGGGCGCCGGCGCTGTCGGCCGCGAGCATGTAGTCCTGGACGCCGTCGTCCTCGCCGTGAAGCACGAAGGTGTCGTGCGCGTCCTCGAACGTGTTGGGCGCCACGAAGTCCATGTTGGCGCGCAAGGCGGCCACGACCATCTGCGCCCGCCGCGGCTCGAGGTGGGCCGCCATGTAGAGCGGCGTGATCCGCGGCACCGTGGACGCAGGGTCGTCGTTGGTGCGGAGGCCGGTCTTGCCGAGGCACGCGGCGAGGAAGCGCGCCCGCAGGTCGTCGGTGGCACGGAGCGCCGCCACGATGCCCAGGAAGTGTGTGTCGCCCGCGGCCGGCCTCATCAACAGCGGCGTGTACTCCGGGTGCACGCCGCTGAGCACCACCGCGCCCTTGCCGTACTTGCAGTAGACGGCCGCGGCCATGTCGCCGGAGCCGTCGCGGAGGTCGGTGGCGCCGGCGTATCGTGCAAGCACCTCGACGCCGCGATGTTGCGACGCGTCCGCAAACACGCCGCCGCCGTTGTAGTAGACCACGGTGTGGGCGGGCGCGCCGAGCGCACCCAAGGCCGCGGTGTTGACGGCCAAGGGCACCGCGCGGGCGCCCTGGTGGGACTCGTAGACGAAGCCCTCGTACACGCAGCCGCGGCACGTGCCCGGGAAGAACGCGAGCTCGCGGGGCCCGCTGACCTCCATGGCCGGGTCGCCCACCTGGAACTCGCAGCGCAGCGACGCGTAGTAGCCGCCGGCGCAGAAGCCCAAGAACCGGCCGCCGGCCCGCACGTACTGCTGGATGCGCCTGTTGCCGGGGCCGTTGAGCAGGCCGCAGTAGGGCAAGTCCGCGCCGCCGGGCATGACGAGCATGGCGGTCTTGCTCATCCAGGGGTCGTGGAGGAGCGCCTGCTCGGACACCGTGATCACGGCGTAGTAGGGCGACAAGTGCTGGCGGAGCAGCTCCACGGTGTGGCGCACGCCTTCGGTCGTGGAGCCCTTGCCGGAGTAGACGAGCACGTTCATGGTGTGGGCGAGGCGTGCGGCTCGAGGGAGGGGCAGGACGGGGTGGGGCTGTGTATACAGCCGGGGGTCTTCAGAGAGGGGAGAAGCCGGCAGGTGGAGATGGGGGCCTAGAACGGGGGACGAGCAGATGCCAGTGTGGGATATATCGGTGTGGGATATATCAGTGTGGATATGCCAATGTATATACCAGTGTGGGATATATCAGTGTGGATATGCCAATGTATATCTTAGTGTAGGATATATCAATGTGGATATGCCAATGTATATACCAGTGTGGGATATATCAGTGTGGATATGCCAATGTATATCTTAGTGTGGGATATATCAGTGTGGATATGCCAATGTATATACCAGTGTGGGATATATCAGTGTAGGAAAAGCCAACTAAGGGAATGTCAACGTGAAATATACCAGTGTAGGATATATCAGTGTAGGCTATGCCAGCGTAGGATATGCCAGTGCGATCTACAGCCAAAAGTCCTTGAAGGTGATGGCCCAAAGATGCGGGTCAGAAGCTGATGCAGGGCAAGGGCAAATGTGGATACGCTATTGTGGAAGCCAAACGAAACCAGTCAGTGAGGAGCTCGGTGAAGGCCAGTGTGCTTGATGCCAACAGAGTGCAATGGATCAGAAGCCAGCGTATGTTGCAGCCGATGTAGATGGAGCCAGTGTGCAAAGCCAGTAGATGGAGCCGGTGGATTAACTAGCAAATGCAAAGCCAGTAGATAGTCAGGAGATAGCCGGTAGATTAACCAGTAGATGAAAAATCAATAGATAGCCAGGAGATAGCCAGGAGATAAAAAGACAATAGATAGCCAGCGGATTAACCAGTAGATTAATATGTAAATGAAAAGCCAGTGGATAGCCAGGAGATAAGCCAAAACTCAAAAGACAGCGGTCCGGAAAAAGCAACAAGGACTGAGGTTCCTGAAAATGGGCCGGGGCTTTTTATAGTAAAGAAACAGAGGTGGTTTTTGGGTAAGCGCCGACTCAGGTGCGCTCTTTTGGGTGCGCTCGCTTGGGGCCGAGTCACCTGAGTCATGTGAGTCGCGTTTCTCGCAGCTGAGGCCTGGAAACGCTTGATATGATTCCACTCTCGAACCATCGAAAAAAGAGTCTATGGAAGGACATGGATTCTGGAGGACGGGACGGTGATAAAAGGCAGGACCGGCCGGAAATACAATTCCGGAAAGGGCAGCCGTGGTTTCTGAGGGGGACTCGCTCGTATATGAGCAAATCACCGGGTTCGTGGAGCGAGCATTATCCAGCATGGAGATTATGACTTCCGCTCCCATACATGCATACCAATGAATGGGGTATCAGCACCTTAGAAATGGCGTTGAATGACTAATGAGATACCATTCATCTATCTGGCGTAGCATGGGCCGACTCATGAAAAGACATTGAATGACTAATGAGACACCATTCATCCATCTGGCATGGGACAACTCACAAAAAAAAAAAAAACAAGGGCTCTGCCTATCTCCTTAATTTCTAGCGAGTGCAAGTTGCAATTGCTGAGCTCGAATCTGGACCTGAAGGGGCCCATATCGGGATTTCCACACCTGGGGCTTATCAGACCAAATCTCACTTTAGTGAGACAATCCAATACTAATGTGGCGGTTTGCCCTGTAGTCAAGAAAATGCATATACATCAGTCTGGAAAGCGATTCTCTTTTCGGTTGTTGAGTGGGTCGCAAAGTCGCCAGGCCCTTAGTTTGCTTCTTACACAACCCGAAATAAGTACGATCAACTCCCACAGTCTTCAGAATCTGCACAGCTCCAAACACATGCTCTCATCCATAAGCCGCCTAGCTCATCAGCCACAACAATCACCCATCTCCTTTTAGTTTGCTTTTTCCACCGGTTTACTGGTCGTTGGGAAATATGGCGGACTGTTTTACAGCGCTTTTCAAAAGCCCAGATTCCGCCAATGTAGCATTGACAGAAGAAACGAATAACCACAAGAATAAACGGGCACATCCGCCAAAATGGGCCTCTTCGAGAAAATCAAGAAAAAGTGCGCCGGACAGAACGCTGTCCAGGATTTCTATGATCTGAGCTCCCATAGACTGAAACGACGAGGCACTCTTTGAGCCGCACCCAGGTTACCGAAGCTTCATCAGCAATGAATAACAAAAGACAGCCTCCTTGAATTATGGCCTTCATTCTCAATACCTAGGCAACCAAAGCCAAGCTTCTGACAGATTCTGTAAAAATACTGAAGACGGAAATTCCAGACCACTCCGGGCTGTCATCACACGGCTTAGTGTGGGCCCCATGTCACCAAAAGTTCATGTGTACAAGCAAACAGCAAAACACAACCACCTTTTACTAAATCTGCAAATTGCCACATTGTAGACCTTAAAGCTCAGCCTTAGACCGGGAGATGACAGGCCCTACCAAACTAAATTTTGCAACTACATAAGGCGCGGTGTACGGGTGCACCTCAAGGCCGGGCTGACCAGTAATTCAGTAACCACTCCTGGACATCTCCTTCTTGGTCCAAAAGCCTAGTTCAAGTGGTCGACTACATATATCCAAAAGGCAAGTATTTCCGTTCTGGAAACAACACTTTGATTTACCGCCAACCTTCCTAAAAGTCAGATGGCAGCGATTTTCGAGCATACCGAGGCAATCAGACTCTCTCCCCAGCCCGGGTTCGTCGTCAAAACAAAGATTGTGGATGGAAAAGGCGACCACATCTACTTAACAAAAGTCTTCATCAATATCTGCCATGAGCCCCGGGTGCCCAAGCCATCCTTGGACTTCCAACCAGAAGTGGTGTTTCCATTGATAGTGCGGAACGAGTGGGAAATCCCCATCATCGTGTCTCTTGAAAAACGTGCAGTCGACAAGAAAGGCGTGCCTTCGTTTGTGTACGACTGCTGTATAAATAGCGAGTGTTTCCAGTGGGTCCAGGTGAGTAGGGATCTTCGCTTGATCCTTGTAGAATGGGCTCTAGAGTCCGTGGAAATGATGCACGAGCTAGTGCTAGAGAGAGAATACGCGCTTCCCAAGATGTTGTGCAAGGGCGAGCTCTCCGAGACAGAAATCACGGAGGAGGATCTCAAAAACGGGCTCCAGAAGAAACTACTCGAATTGAAGCAAAACGAAACCGCGGGTTTGATCGAGGAGCTTGAGGTGCGCCCATGGGGCGACGGAGAAGAGGAGGGGGAACAGGAGACTTTGCCTGATTTGACCAATATTGATGGCAAAAGACAGAAACCATTGATTGAGGAGATAGGCCAGATGTCTTTGGACGGAGAGCCCAAAGAGAGCCACATTTTTGCCAGCCAGGTCAGCCAAAGTCTCAACAAAGATACTCACTGCTCGTCTTCTTCAGAGAGATCCGTCTCGGAGGTGCTCCGCTACAAATTCACTTTCAAAAGAGAGCTTCGAGGAAACCAGTGTTTTGTTCTCTTTGAGTCCAGGCAATTGACCAAGAATCTTGAAGTTTCGTACCTGAAGGATCCAGCCGGCACGGGCACAGTCATAACACTTAGAAACACAGATTCTTTGCGGGTGCTAGAGAGCCTGAACTATCTAGAGATCCCAATGCCGCAAGGCTACAAGCCATACCAGTCGTTTCTCTTGGAAAAACACGGACAGCTTTACATTTTCTGTGCTTCCGAAAAATAGCGATGCAATTAGAAGACCGGACGAAGCTTGATCAAAGCGGGCCATTGCAGAAGCCTCTGGGTATGCCTCTATATCAGTCGTATGTCATTGCCATTCTGAGATTCACACGACTTTCGGAGCATGAAGCAAAGAGTCCAAATACGTAAACCAGGCGTATCGAGAACAAATGACGATGGAAATGAGGTTTTTGGAAAGACCCAGTTGTATTCTTCCTATACGATATTTCCATCTTAGTCTACGACAAGGGTACAGCAAAGTGGAACAAAATATCAGCACTTACATCAAACCTGCAATTTGGTATCTAGTGTCTTTATTTTTACGGAAGACTGCAGTGCACGTGGTTGGGTTTGTGAACTACATTCATGAGGTTCTTGGTGTGTCAAATGACAATTGCCGACCCTTCCGAGTATACAAGAAATCGACTGGCCGACATGATTCAATGGAATTTTAACAGCACCTGTTAGAAGTGGCCCCCGACGTCGCGCTATATATTGGCCGAAAGTGCACTGTTGTCTGATGCTGGTGAAATCACGGGCGGTTCACAGAAGTCTGGTTTGGAGCCTCAAGAATCAATAATGGCTCATGATGCGCCATAAGCATATAAAGACCTGGTACTGCTTCAGCACAAATAGCTGGTGTGTGTGGACCAGGAGCTAGAGGGGGATCGGTAAAGAAATACATCAAAAACTAGCTGATCAAGCCCCGAATAGCAATAATGTGGACTGTAAACAGCTATTTCTGGACAGTGCAAAAGAGAGCGGGGATAGGGCAAATGACAACTGTATGGCGATACTCGAGAGAAGTAAAGTGCAAAGGCTGGAAATCGGGCTACATGTCCGATGGGATGCAATACAGTGGATATGATTGTGGCTTCCACGGCGCGGCCTAATTATCAGATATCTGGAGATTACAAGTATGAAGACGACTTTTATGAAGATGACGATTACGTGTCTGATGATGATCATTACGGCAGCAGCCAAGATATAGAAGGACGGTGATAGCAGCAAGCGGTGCGCCCAAACCTGGAAATTTGAGGCAGTCGTTTTGCAGAAGAGAAGAAAGCAAATGCCGGTAAAACACACATCAAACGACACCCCGAGCCCGCGTCGCTCCAGTACCCCAAATTCCTGAAGATGCAGATTTCACCGTCGGACTTGGTGCTTTATCTCAGGACACATCTGGGCGTAAATCGTCCTGGGAAAAAAGCATGTTCAAAAGACCCCAAGAGGCTTCCAGTGAAGGACTTGCCTTGTCGCCGGAAACATGTCTCGTATTCCAGTCTCTGATGGAGTCCCCGGAGACGCTCGCTGATCACATGAAGGTCCACCTGAAAAAGTCCCCGTTTGCATGCTCCAAATGCGGGAGGAATTTCACATTGAGCTACAACTTGGCCCGCCACATGCGCAGCTACACGGAAAATGGTCCATACCAGTGCCGGACTGTGGACAGAAACTCACATTACAGCAGGAATTGACAGTGCACATCCGTACGCTTATCAAAAGAGCTGTTTGAGTACCAGATCGGCCACATGAGGCTCGACACGCAACTAACGTTGGACAATAAGACCGCAACCCAGCCCTATAAAAACCCCCACGCATGCCCATAATGTGGAAAGCGCTTGCCCACATAAAACCGCTTGACGTATTATATGTGCAGCCACTGGGGAGAGAAAAAGTACCAGTTCAGCATATGCAAACAGTGGCTTCTGACGGAGCTAGACTGGGCCGACCACTTGGCCACCCATACCGAGGACAAGGCATACTCGTGCCACATCTGTGACCTGAAACCTTCGTCAAAGGTCGCCTACAAGAGGCACATGGAGATCCATGCTGACAGAGCATGCTCCACGTGCAAGAAGATGTTCAACACAGTATAGCACTTGACATTCCACATGAAAATGTACCCTACCTACGTACTTTACGAGTGCACGGTGTACTACAAACGGCTCAGCGCCAACACGAAATTGGCTGATGACATGACGATCCGCACGGGGAAATCAGCATATAAATGTGATCTTCATTCATCCGCGTTCACTGCGGCCAGCAGCTTGCGCCGCCACGGAGTTCAAAAACACTCGCAAATTTTTGTGTGAGGTGGAGACATGATGGTGTCAAGATGACCTTAAAGACACGCTGTTGCACTTTTTGTTCTATATCATTGCAGAAAGATCAGTTACTGCTTAATGGAACCATGAATATGACCGCGTAGTGATGATCATTGACGGGTACTGTGAAACTCCCAGACATGGGCTTCGTATACTGTGAGGATATCGCAAACAAGGTTGTTGAAGAACTTTGAGCTGGAGTATTCTTTCCGCGCCAAGCTCTGGCCGATTTGGTGATTTGACGCGTCTTCAAGAGAAACCACCAGTATGGTTTGCGCTCTTGGCCCCGATCTGCGGCCGCGTGCAAAACAGGCCACCACTATATAACCGAGCTGGTCGGTGGCAATATTACCTTCTCCCTAAATCAACTTTTCGTCTTCTACTGCTTATATTTTTGTACCCTTCTATGTTTCTTCCCTGCTGAATTACCTGCTCGAAGCGTCAATGTGATGGCCGACGGATATGCACAATCCTGTCAGAATGTAAGTGGCGTTCTGATCCTTGAAACCAAACCAAAGAGACATGACGTGATAATCTCCACACTAAACTTTTGAGCTGGCTGCCCCCAAAACCTCCGTCAAATCAAAACTGCCATGTGTCGTGTCCTGCTCAAAATGTGCAATATGGAAGTCATGCCTGACTAGTCCTGTCATAAAAGGCCACATGAAGCATGCCCAACGGTGCTTCCATGCAAGATGGTCGGCTATCTAAAAATCAGACCAAAAGTGCCGACTCATCAATGGACCAAGAATCTGCCGATGATATCACGCCGATTTTCGTGGACCGAAATTTGCACCTGACCTTCACCGTCTCTGAATTAATGACTCAGAATGTACTCTCGAAGGTCTTTGTCTTTGACCTGAGTAAATTGTGTACGGAGAAAGTGCACCAGAACTGAAGATTATGCATTAGGCTTTTTGAAGAGGGCTGTCAACTAGGTCTTCCTGAAGTTCCAGAGGTCCCTGATGGCCCAGCTACCTTGGATGCGGTACATTCTGCCCTCGTTCATGAAGTGAAAACAAAAGCAGCATCTCCTCTGGAATATTCTACAGTCGACAAGCACTTACAGATAGTTGGATATAAGGATGTTCAGGTATTAGAAGACAACGATTTACAGATCGAAGACAACGATGGCCAGCTAGAAGACAACGGTGTCCAGCTAGAAGACAAAGATGTACAGATAGACAACAACGATGTCCAGATAGACGACAACGATGTTCAGATAGACGACAACGATGGCCAGCTAGAAGACAATGGTGTTCAGATAGACGACAACGGTATCCATATAGAAGACAACGATCTACAGAAAGACGACAACGGTATCCATATAGTCCAAGAAAATTACAAGCAGATGGTTCAAGAAAATTGCAAGCAAATGGCCGAGGACAATCAAAAGCAGATGGTTGAGGAAAATGGCATCCAGGTCGTGGAAGACAATGACAATTCGCTGAGCGAAAATGAAATTGAACTGGACTATGTGCCCTCTTCGGAAGGCGAAGACAATAAGCTCAGCTCAGGAGATGATCATGAGTATGCGCCTGAAGAAGAAGAAGAAGAGTCTGAATAAGTCACTTGCACGGCATGTAGACTAGTATGTGAGAGCGTATCGGCTTTGGCCAAACACATGAGTGGTCATACAAGCCGCCAGCTATCACGAAAAGAAACTGATCAGGAAAAAACCGGCCCACACGACGTGGCCGCAAACTCGCTGCTTCCAGCGTCTGGCGAAGTGCTCTATCAGTGTCCTTTGTGCGAGACAAAAAGACAAGTTAATAGAGCATTTGTTGGGTCACGAACCCCAAGGACCGTTCAAGTGCACATCATGTGCATTGCTGTTTTCGGCGCAGTTTTACTTAGATCAGCATGCCAAATCACATGTCCAGAGTCTGGAGCCTCTGTGCCGCATTTGTGGAGCCCGGTTCGAAACCAGATCGGCCTTGTCTTCCCACATGCAGACGCATGGGCAGGGACTGTCGTATCAGTGTCCAATATGCCAGAAAGTACTTGCAAGCAAAAAGACATACGATTACCATATGAAGTCCCACACGGGCAACAGGGCCTATCACTGTCCAATCTGCCAGAAGGGCATTTCCACCAAACAACGCTTGATGACGCACATGCGGACTCATCTGGGTGACTCGCCATATCAATGCTCGGAGTGTGGCCAAACCTTCCTGTCGCAAAGCTCGTTTAAGCAGCATTCAAAACGACACGAAGATGCTTTTGGGTTTGAATGCGAGATTTGTGGGAAGGTGCTTACGTCGGACTTCACGCGGCGGGGTCATATGTTTCTCCACACCAACGACTCTCCTTACAAGTGCATGATTTGCAATATAAAGTTTACAAGGAAGGGAGGGATGTTTCGCCATATGACACATTTCCATGCGAGCGAGTAATTAATTTCTGGCTAGCAGATGGCGTTGTCCAGACCCAGCCCAATCTAGTGTGGATAGGCGAATGAATGGTTTTGTGATTCCTTTTTGGGTAAATCTTGTGGATCAAAGGACCGGAGCATACATTATGTGGCTGGCACCCGTCTTGGTTGTTCTGCTATGCGTTTTGGTCGACTGCCGAGACTTGGGACAAGCTACCAAACATTTACAGGCCTTGTTTCGAGATTCCCTGTGCTACATTGATATTGATGCTTGCACATTTCCATCATTGCTTCCACATGTCTCCTGATGATTTGTTATGTGTATTTGCACTATCAAAGTGGTTCCTCAGTAAATCGTTCATTATCGGAAAAGGTATGTTGTATATGGATAGGGAAGTCCAGACGTGTGAAAAACGGCCGGCCGTTGTTTCCATATTCGAAGCGTGTCTTTTGAGAGAGTCAGTGGAATATAAACCAGGCAATATGGCAAGACATCACTCACGAGCTAAGATTGAACGCACAATTTGAGCACACCGAATATAGGCTCAAGATCTACGAATATAGACCCAAAGCTCGTTTCCGTCGGGAAAAGTGCAAAATCCCGGTGGATCATTTCTTGTTCTGGATAAGATGAGGTGACTTTATGCAAACAGTTAAGTCATCGACTCATTCCATAAACTGAGCACATGGACAAACATGACCCAATGACGGACACGAATCAAACTGTGGGGCCACCGTTCAACTGCAGCATTAAGTGGTGATACAGCCCAAGACAATTCTACTAGTTTTACAGAGAGAAAGTCTCAACCGGAAAGGAGGAATTGACCCGAAATTGACCCTGGTAGAATGTCGTGGGTGCGACAAGCACGCCAGCTCGGGACGAGCAGAACAAACAAGCGACCCAAAACTTCCCCTTTGCTGCCGAACGCAAGGTAAACTACGCCCACGTAAGCAACTAGAATTTTGTCCTTTTCTCGTGGGGACCTTACAATGCACTAGACCAGAAATTCTGGAAATGTCATTGAGGACACCAAAGCTGAACTTGTAGGAAGCATGGGTCGCCCTCGGATCTGCGGCCGTCCAAAGTACCCACATCATACAGGAACCAGCTACATTGCAATTAGCGGGAGGACCACCGGGCCTGGAAATCGGACCAAGGGAAATGAACGTAAGGAGAACTCCTCGACGGTTAGTAACTCGGTCGCGCATGCCGCCTACCCGTCACGTGACGATTCTGGGCAGCAAGTGCTTCTTGTGTTTCCCCACCTATTTTTTTTTGGCGAGAAAGGGGAGCGTCCATTAGTGCAGGTGTGGGAGCGAATGAGGCAGCGGGACAGCAGCCAACAAGCACCAATGCACAAATGCTGGGATCCGCAATTGATGCCCGGAGTTGGCAACTGGCGCCGCCGCACCAATGTCCGATTCCAGATAAGCGAAGCGTTTCAGTATCAGATTTCTCAATTCAAGTATGTACGGTACTTCGGATCCTTAGAATACTACTATTCCATAAAAACCCTTGAGAAAAAAAGGAAAGGGAAAAACTTTCCCTGTACGGAAGTCTTTTCCTTTTGCCACGTGAGGGATGCCTACATGGCGGATACCACGTGACACTCCCCGGAATGATGTAATTAGGGACTTCACTATTCATCATTCGTCTCAGTTGATCTCGCCATGACTTTTAGGGCTTGGATATCGCGATCACTCTGATCGCATACCTCTTGTCGACCCCCAAATATGGGTGGTGTCTCCCGAAAGGCACGTACAGTAATGGTTTAGTGAACGTGTCAGCGATGTTATCTTCGGTCCCGACCGTCTTCACTGTGATGTCTCCTTTTTGTACTCTATCTTGGACATGTTTCTCCTTTATGTCCACCGTCTTGCTGTTGCTGGGGTTGCTTCCTGTTCCATTGACGGACAAAACAACGCCCCTGTTGTCTTCGAGTATGGTGGGCACCTCTATTGTATCTAGGCTCAAGTCCTTGCAGAGTGCCTTCAACCATAACACGTCGTGTACTGTGTTACTGAGCGCGACGTACTCTGCTGCGTAGGTACTCGTCGTCACTAAGCCTTGTTTCTTGGATTTCCACGCTATTGGTGTTCCATTAGTGTAGATGATGTAGCCTGTTCTGGACTTTCGCCCTTCCTCGTTTGCGAACGATGCATCGCTGAATGCATAAAGTTTGATCTTGTTCTCTGGATAATTGCTCTTGAGTACTTCGATGCCGACATCCTTC